AAAATTTATTTAAAGCGTCTTATCAATATATACCTAAGTAATGTTAACAGTTTGGGGCAATTTTCCATTTTTTTATGTAAGCTTTGCACAAAAATTGAAAATATTGTCCAAAATCGAAGCCTCTTTATTTATTGATAAAAAGGATGTAACGCTAAAAGTGATTTTAAGCATATTGCTTTTTGCTAGAACCGAAGGTGGTTAGAGCATCCGATGGAATAGAGTTCACTACCTGTACAAACGCTACTTTATAAGCCTGGTTTAAACATAAAATTCAACTGAGCATATAAAAATAACCTCAAGTAGCCTAAAATGACTAAGGTCTCATTCAAAATATATTTAACCATAAGAAAAAAAGGGTGACAAAATACAGTTATGCGCAGCAGCGTTTCTCTGACGATTGTATCTCATTCGAGGATCAAAATCATTCGTTCAGTCACTAGTTCAGACAGCAATGTGTGTGTGCATGAGTGATGTAAAATGGGCGTGAAGAAACGTAAGAACGTCTATCGATGCACTGAACATGAGAGAGTTGAATCCCACAGGCAAAAACAATGGGGAATTCACCTGGGTTAACCAAGCTTATTACGCATTATATGAAGCAAATAAATTTTTTTAAATGATTAAAAATAAAAATAAAAATATGCACTAAGTGCCCAACCAGCCTAATAAATAACTGCCTTTATTTAAAAGAGAGCATAGATAAGAGCATCATGAATATACTTGAGTAATAGTAGAACGACTTCAATAGAATCCGAATTAAATTTCCATTACAATTAAATGCAGAAGTCTTCGATGAATCTTCCTCTGACCTAATTAATCCACACCTAACTTTTTTCCCCCGCTTACAAAAATCGTTGGAGCAAGAAGCTCTGAAAAAATTTTAAGAATTCCTTCTTGCCTTAAATAGAATGCATTCAATTTTTTGACCACTACTTTAAGGCAAACCTTCAATTCCCCAAACCACCGAATGATCTTTATTCAGACTTTAGCATGGAATCAAAAATCCTAAAGTATTCTCCAAGGGCTAGTTACTATTCACTATTAAGTTGGCCTTTCAAGTCGCAGATTAACAAGTGAGATGAGCATTTTGATGCATTTGAAGGCACTAAGAAATACATACTTTTGATAGAAAATATTAAGACATCTTTCGTTTTTAATCAGACGAATTATTTGGCCTAATTTAGATCTAGTTAAGATATATAAATTTATTCAGTATTAGGGCTGTGCCAATAGAAGTGAAATAGCAAAAGTATAGAGGAACTAGCAAGCATTTTGGAGACGAAACGTACTGCGGGACAAGCGAAAATATTCATTTTCTGCTGTTGCATCTGTAACTGATGCACAGCAGCAGGGTTGAGTGGTGCAGCAGAGAATGGATCCGTTAGGAGAGAGAGGCCAGAGGTAGCTGAAAATACTTCTGTGTTGGCAGCAGTACCAGCATTAAAGCCAGTATTGATAAAATTGCTAGAAAGAGAAGTGGGTGAGATCAGGCCATTACGAATCTGATCAGAAGGCCCAGAGCCACAAGTCTTTTCCGCTGCACTCGGAGGCATAGAGGGTGGCATCAACCTAGGTGGTGCTTTAGGAGGTCCGGAACTAGCGACGACTGTTGTTCCATTGGTCAGCCTAG